ATATATTTACATATATGAGTCGGTAATTTCCCGTTAGCTCATCAGTTTGACGACCAATTCAGGCGTTACGAAATTTGATGATTTTTTTATATATATATACAGTATATATACTCAACACTTCACCCCGCCAGGATTCGAACCCACGGCCCACGAGCCCACGAGGTTTGAATCCTGGCGGGGTGAGGTGTTGATTGTATGTAGAAGTCCGCATGCTTTATTGGGCTAATGAAATATATATGGATCCTCGTGTTTCGAAGCCGGATTTGGGAAAACGTTACTCTGACCACCTACGTGATACTGGTAGTCCGCATTAGAGGTTCACGGCGCCATAAGCTCGTTGAACAGGCTTTTTGTGAAATATAACAGATTCTAGGACTGCTTTTAGTATCCTGGTGGTCCAGAGGTAGCGTTTCCCTGTCACAGTCATGGGCTCGTGGGCCGTGGGTTCGAATCCTGGCGGGGTGAGGTGTTGATTGTATGTAGAATTACGCGTGCTTTATTGGGCTCATGAAATATATATGGATCCTCGTGTTTCAAAGCAGGATTTGGTAAAACGTTACTCTGACCACCTAAGTGAAACGGGTAGTCCCCATTAGAGGTTAACGGCGCCATAAGCTCGTTGAAGAGATTTTGTGTGAAATATAACAGTCTAGGACTGCTTTTAGTATCCTGGTGGTCCAGAGGTAGCGTTCCCTGGTCACAGTCATGGGCTTGTGGGCCGTGGGTTCGAATCCTGGCGGGGTGAGGTGTTGATTATATGTAGAAGTCTGCACGCTGTATTGGGCTAATGATATATATATATATATATATATATATATATATATATATATATATATATATATATATATATATATATATATATATATATATATATATATATATATATATATATATATATATAACCGGTCGGAATTTACTGGACTTTAATTTCTCACTTGACTTGGGGTTTATTAAAGATTATTAGGTGGTAATTGCAGTGGAAGCGCCCCTTTGAGAAAAATCCCGAACCAGCACAAGAACACTTAAATCTACTAAACAAAATTACTTGTCCGTGACCTGTGGAAGGATAGCGTCTGTGACTGGGATGAATGAGACACACTGTAAAATTTAGACACTTATATTCACTCCAACACTACAAACACAATCAAATAATGGTACACCAATATGCGCACCTCTTAACTTGAACTTAAAACACTACTCTGGGAAATAAAAGTTATACATGATATTGAAATTATTAGAAACTCAGGCAACAATAAATTTAAAGTATTAAGAAATGTTGCTTGCACACATGAAACAGGCCTTAAGGGCTTTCAACAAAATTATATCACCCCAACAGATGAAAAATTCCTAACCTAACTTAAACACTATTCTGGGGAACAAAGGTTATACCTGAGATCGGAATTATAAAGAAAAATTAAATGCATTAAAGGAATTAAATCACAGAATCACTCTGGTTCCACTTAGTGACACAAACATTCAAAAACAATACTATCAAAATCAATTAAGAACTATTCCTACACACGTCAAGATAATATCAGTAACTGAAAAAATGGTACTAACTACACACAAATATTGTCACTATTATTGAGATGTTACTGGGTCCACCAATACTCGTGAACCATGCTCCACCCAACTCAACATACACCCGTAATAAGGGAGATAAAATGTTTCTCTTGGTATCCCCTAGACTCCTAGTCTCAGTGTGTAACCATTAATCTACTCAGATAGCCTCAGTGTACTCTCAGTGCGTCCATGGGCGGGAAGAGAGAAAGCCAACAGGTGACTATGGCCAGTAGGTAATACTTCTATCTGACCGAGGACACGTGGTGTGGTGTTGTGCACCCACATGGTAAGAACTGATCACCCAATGCTGATGCTGGCCCCGTATCGTTTTAGTTGTCGGGAGCACTCATTCACTCAAGAGATCCTTTGCTCCCCGCTAACCAGTGACAAGCCTGCACTGATCGTTCCAACCGGCGACAATCGCCAATCATCAATCCTCAACGGAAGTCTCAAACGGCAGTCAATCTCTCGCAGTCATCACTCTCGCAGTCAATTTCTCGCAGTCAAGTGGGTTCTGACGGAAACCCTGAAATTGACTCACTGTTAGCTCTTAATAACTTTATCACTGCCCTATCTAACCCCTATCTGAGATCGAATGAGACTTACTTGTTATACTGCAAGAGCCTAGCACAGGTGACTAGGCCACTTGACTATTTCTGTGACGGACGCACAGGGACGTCTTGTTGATCCGAATGCTTTCGCGTTACTCAGAGCTAGCCAACCTCGTGTCCTCTCAAGGCGTCAGCTTAGGCCTACGTGACATATTTTCCGCCTAACTAATAACTCCTTGGGACACCCGTAACATTATTCAGACTGATAAACGATCTATAATAATTCCAAATTCAATAATAGTCCCTTAACTTCATGAATCGCATCATTATTAATTCGGCAAATTACATTTAATATCATATAGGCCTAGTTCCACAACCTCTCGCTATGTGCGGGGAGCGCTCTCTTCCCTCAGACGACCTTGAAAGCTCAGTATCGCCAATGGCGCGGCGTTTGAAATTACACTGAAATTTCTGAATATTACATATATATATATATATATATATATATATATATATATATATATATATATATATATATATATATATATATATATATATATATATATATATATATATATAGTAATGTTGCGGATGTGCTTATTAGGAATACTAGTTTTGTAAGTCCGCAATCCCCCTAAAACATAAAACAATTAAAAGATAATTGTTACATAGTGGACAAGCAACTATTATTAAATAGTATATCCAACACATGGCATGAAGCGTTATAGTCATGCTTCTGCACAAACTTTGCTGTGTTTGATGTACGCCGCCTTGTTTAGATGTGTATAGAAATATGTTAGGTAGTCGCGGACTCTTCCACGTTGAACACCCAGCCAGACGACCAGAGAGGTAGTATCAGGTGACGATCTGGTAACAGTGTGTGTGTGTGTGTGTGTGCGGGGGTGGGAGGGTTTGGGGAGGGGGAGATATGGGGGAGTCCTTGAGTTGCGTGTTGCATATTATAAAGAAATTTTATTTTATACATTATAAAGTAAGGAAAGTAAAAGAGATTATTAAATTTAGGAATACACTTTTTTCCAGAAGTATTACAATGTTTGATTTTTTACACTGTAAATGGTAATTTTTAATCTAAAATTCGAGGCCAGAGAAACGCGTGATCTTAACCTTCCTGCACCAATTCTGAGTAAGAACAGGTGCCAGTCAATGGTTGATGATGACCAGACATTTAGTTATATACCCATTCTTATAATAAAAAAAAAGTATGGGAAGTTGCATTATTACGAGAAATGAAACAAGTAATGATTGTTATCATAACGAAAAATAAAATACTCACCTATTAATGAGGAAATAAGGTAAACAAAATTTTACTAAATTTTTTCACTCAGAAGTATGAGAGACGACCTAGTGAAAGCGAAACTCTGGAGAGGTGGCTAGATTTTTGCTTTCACAAAGGCTGTCCTAATAAGTGACGATATGAGGTTGAACTTGGGCATCAGAAATCATCGACAGAGGAACACCGTGTCAGCAGACTTGTCTTGGTTTGTTGGCATTAGGCACTGGACTTCTGGAAATGGCTTCGTTCACTGACGTAAATTCTTTACTTGAGTATCCTGTCCACTCACCTTCTTTGTTTATAACAGCATTAAGTCTTTCGGGCATTGATCTAACAAGGTTGCGGAGGATATCATATTTGGCCCTAAATACCTCCCATTCTGCCTCAGTGTGGGTGAACAACTCTGCAGACGTTCTTTCACAATATTCGCCCATAAATTTTCCAAAGGGTTCATGTCAGCCCCCCGACTAGGCCAATCCGGCAGCTGCAAATTCTCACTGTCAGGAAACCACTGCTGGACAACTCTAGCCGTGTGTATGGGGCACCGGTCATGAACGAAAACAATAGGTCCAGGGGGGGAAGGGGAATTTTCCTTCCTGCAGAGAGGGCAAGAAAAAATTCTCCAAAATGTCCAGATACTTCATCTCTGTAAAACTCCCGTCGATTTGAACCAAGTCCCCCACACCGTGGACAGACATATAGCCCCACACATTACAGGTGCTGCGTCCCCTACGAGCCTCCTCGTAAATTTGCTTACGGTCATACCTGTTAATGTCAGGATGCATCATAATTCATGTAACTATCAATATTACTGGAAACCTTTACTTTAATTATCTTCAAATTACTTTGGCTTAATATATAACTAGCAACTTAATGGGTTCCAATTTGGTATTTTATTTAAGATACAGATGGACAAATAAAAACGCATAGTCATTATCGATGTGTGCCTTGCCGCAAGAGTAGAGGTAGCACTCTAGTTTTTATTTACATCATAGGATTGGTTTTGTAGTTTTAGCAGGTCTTGATTTATAGCCTTTGCATATAATTTACATACAGCAGTTCCTAAAATGTTACCATAAGTGTAAGAATTCATAAAACCTTTGTATTAGTGTGTTTTATTGCATTTGTTAATTGGTGCTCTGTACAAAATGATGTATCATTGTTACCTAGTGTTATTGCCCCTACCCCCCGTGCATTCTGCCGTGATTGGTTGATGCAAAGGTCTTTTCGTCTGTGAAGACAACTCTGTCCCGGAATTCCAGCGACTGGTCAGCGTGTCAACGAGCGAAAGCGTGTCTGGCAGCACGGTGTTCCTCTGTCAGTCGTTCTTTCTTGGCGGGAATCCTGTGGTGGATACCCGCCTCAAGAAGCCGCCTCCGGACAGTTCTAGTGCTCTCGTCTAACCGTATATCTGTGAATTGCAACAGCATTAGTGAAAGGGTTGTCCTCAGCTGTTCTCAAGATCCTTGCACCTAAAAATGTGTATCAGCTTAAAGTTATTTGTCGGATTTGGAAAATAATTATACCTAAGAAATTGGTCGACATCAATCATTGACTGGTACCTATTTTCCCCTACTGTCCTTACCCGAGGAATGGTAGCAGTAGTTCGGGAAGGTAAAGGTTACGTGTTTCATTGGCTTTGGAGCCCTAGCTTAGAGATAACCAATTACACCCCAATAAATCAAACGACGTAATGCTACTGTAATTACGTATTTCTATACCATAATCACAGCTTCCACTTCCATCACCCTTTTGTATGAAAATTATATATGATTATATAATACAACACGGAACTCAAGTACCCCCCATCTTTTCCCCCTCCTCTATCCCTCCCACCCCCGCACGCACACACACACACATTGTTGCCAGATCGTCAGTTGATTCTACCTCTCTGGTCGTCTGGCTGGGTGTCCAACGTGGAAGAGTCCGCGACTACATGACGTGATATTGGATACGTGACACCAAATGACCTTTAACCTCTGTGCCCGGGTTAATAAATCTAAACGAATGAATAACCATCCACACTACCAGTGTTATCACCACTCTCCATTGCAGACTCATTTCTGAGTGATAATTTTCTGAGTTTAACGGATTGTAGGTATAAAATCCTTGGATGAATAACGCGCGTGTGTGTATGTTTGTCACTCGTGACTAATTAATTGAAACGCATGGTAACAAGCAAGGTATAGACATTTAGTTTAGACATCATACACCAACCTAAGGTGTGATGACAACCTAAGATCACAACACAATAAAATTATCTTCGGCCAGGAGTCTGTGTCACTCGTTTACTTTCTCCGAGGATGTAGTTCTCCGGCCAGTGGCCACGTAAGATAAACACTGTTTTTCTACACTTTATCCATTCTGCACTGACTTTACGATATTGTCAAACTTATGGAAAACGGTGACACCTGTATTCTGATTTCAGAAGATTTATGTATAACTTCTGTTTATACTGATTTTTTTTTAATTTTTGTTTCTTATCCGCATGAAATCGAGGGAATAAAATGTCGCCATATTGCTTGTGCTGTCATTCCGTCCGCCTCCCTCACATATCTTGGTTGCTACGTAACTTTTCAGCCATTAAAGGAACCTCAACAAAACTGTTTGTCGCATGCTAGCTTGAGTAAACACTTCTCGCGACCTTTTGTTTGTAATCTAATAAAAGTTAACTTCAATTACAAGCGAAGAAACAGTTCCAGTATGAGGGCCTGAGCTGCCACCATTTTCTAAGGGCCTGTGTGTCAGTAACAATTCCTTTTACTTTCATACTTATTACCATTGGTAGCGTGACGAGAGGAGGCTCGTGGGTAGATGTAATGATAGTAACAAGTAGTAGGGAAGAAATAACGGTAAATACTGTAGGTAAATAATAGACACAATATACAAATACAAAATTTATTTAAACATTAATATGGAATTAGGAGAAAGAATATATATATACCAACAGACGAAATCTGGTACTATGCCCTCAGGTTCAACATACTCACACCATTACTGGGTGGACATACTCAATAACACTCACAACCCTACTGGGTGGACATACTCAATAACACATAACTCTTATAGTCACTTAGCACCTCGATGATGTCACCCAGGAACAGAGAAAACGGGGGACGTTTCCACTGGGGAACTCGGAAGGTTTTGTGGACGTTTGAGCGTAATATGAATCCTTAAGGTTTTCAGGTTAGCCATTATCACGATCACTTACACAGCCACCATGGGGTACTTTCCGACGAACTCTGAAGATCCCAGTGGATTAATCCCACCACACAAATAGCCCTACTGAGTTAGACACTCATCCACCAATGATGGGGGCTGGTAGTGGTGTGTGGCTTGGTGATCCGGGGTCACCTCGCAGGCCGAGCGTTAGGGCCAGACGAGCCAGCTATGGGGCCCATAGGTAGTCTGAAGTGTCTGGCGGCCGGGTCTCACGAAGGTAACTGATCCTACTGGACCTCGGACATCTCCCCAGACATAGTGGATACAACATCCACGCTACAGACACGGCCTAGGCTGCGTTAGGGACCTGTATGGATGAAGGGACGGGCACTTACTAACAGTGACAACATCACATTTCAGGGGACGTTAAAGACGTAAATATGACTTCACTCAGAGCATATCAACTACGTTACTGTAACACTTGCACAATCAACTATTAATTGGGTCAAATCACTTAAAGAAGGGCGAATTATAATACAGAGTGGAAAGGCATACCTGTATGGATGAAGGGACGGGCACTTACTAACGGTAGAAATGCCCGCGGCACCCACTCAAAATAGGCCCATGGAGTCCACCTACTTCTATTTCGATGAATTAATTTACTGTACACTCTGACGTTGAAACTGAGACTATGAACTCAGTTTCATTCCCTACTACTATCTTCACTAACAATGCTCTGACTCAGCTATCAAAAGCAAAATTAAATTGATTACAAAGGGTTGGATGGCAACAGGTCCCAACATACAGCGTCTGCTACGAAATCCGCGGATTATTTTCAAAGTTCCCTACAAACAAAGACGGCCTATCGATGACGTCACCCAGGAACAGAGAAAACGAGGGACGTTTCCACTGGGGGACTCGGAAGGTTTTGTGGACGTTTGAGCGTAATATGAATCCTTAAGGTTTTCAGGTGAGCCATTATCACGATCATGACACCAGAACACAAGACCTGTACCAAAAATTGTACAGCAATAATCTGTTTAACATTAATTGTTGGGAATAGACGCTAAGGGCAAGACTTGTATCCTAAATTGCAATTAGTTAAAAGTTAATTACTGAAAATTTGAATACTACCACGACACGAGAATTGTATGACAGTTGGTTTAAGTTTATTACTGAAACATGAAACCATTACAGTGTACAAGACAAGTACCTTAACTTGTAATTAGTTTATGGTTAATTAATGCGAAGAGAACACACCAGTCAGCCTCTGTATGGTACTGCCACAAGGTTCACTTTACCTATTTACCTTCCACGACCTGTCCGGCAGAGGGTCGTCTTACGGAAATCAATACGAGGGTTGATTCTCTCGCAATATGGCTCCTTGAAGACTTGCGGTTCAAGCTACCAAAGTTATTAGGAAATGAAATTACTGCGAATATTGAATATTGACATCTGTTTCGTAAAAGCTCGCATACCGCTGATCACATGTCATTCTCAGTGCATTTCTAATGAGCGGAGAGTGTATCCTTGGTGAGGGGAGGGGGGTGCAGAATGTATATCCAGCTAGGAGTGTATAGTTGATCAAGGATAGTGTGTATTGGGCCAAGAGAAAAGCATAGGTGGCTGGGTATAGTGTGTAGTGGGCCAGGATAGTACGTGGTCGAACGGAAGAAGAGAGAAGGTGTAACCGGTCACGGGCAGATATACATCCGGCAAATGCAACAAAAGGCGTCACAGTGCTGCAACTGTAACTTCTCCTGATTAAAAAATAAATAATTAAAGAAGAAACTGATGCAGCGTTGATCTTTAGTCTAAAGCAGTGATTCTCCAACGGGAGGCACTTGGCACCCAGGGGAGGAATTGGGGAGGAATTTTAGTCATGGGAGGAACTCCAAACGGGGAAAGAATGTACTTTGTACACTGTGCATATATATCAAACGAAATACCAATATACACAATTATAAGGGCGATCACGAATTAACAGTTTACAAAAAACTGCTGCTTCAGACTTAATCCTGTTTGGGACTATTCGATTATTGAGGTTTGAAAAGCGTGCTCATGTTAATATGATGCTCCAGTGGCATTTGATAACTGTGGCTATTACAAGTTGCCAACAACTGGCGGTCTGGATGTGAAGGCCGATATCACTATTGGCCGAGTGTACGAATCAGGAATTGGCAGTGACTGTCTGTAATATATTATGGGACAATACTGGAAAACAAACTTCATAGCTAAGCGTGTCTTTTTCAACAAAGTTTCACAGTTGTTGACTTCCAGTTCATGAAATCTAATGAAGCCAAGGCCTTGATTTCATATCTTGCTGATATTTTTGGTAAATTAAATGCATTAAATAAGGAACTGCAAGGTGAACAGAAGAGTCTCATGGATTGCAAAACGAAAATGTTTGGTTTTATCAGTAAACTGCTTTTTTTTTAAGGCCCAGGTCTTGAGAAATAACCTCGCTCACTTCCCACATCACAGTAAATATTATCCATCACAAAATATCTTACAAATAATCTCAGAACACCTCTCCAACCTCCATGATGACCTGAGCGACAGATTCGTTGATATGAAGCAGATGAACTTCCCTTCTTGGATTGCTCAGCCATTTCTCTTGAACTGGGAAAATAATGACTGCCTGGCTAAAATGGAGTCTGATCAGATCGACGAGCTAATGGCGAGGCAAAATGATGACAGTATGAAACCGATCCATGCTTCAAAACAACACTTCAAGTGGCTGGATCCCCAAGTTGTTGCCAAATATGAAAAAATAGCTACAGAGGCTCAGCAAGTGCCTTTGCCCTTCCCAACAACATACTTGGTTGAATGTGCCTTAAGTGCTGTTACGGATATGTTGACTTAAAAACGAGAACGTCTCAACATTTGTGAGCGTGGTGACCTTCGAGCAAAACTGGATTTGTTCCTCGGTTTTCTATAACAATAATAATAATTAACGGTTTATTAAGATAACATGACAGCCCGAAGGCTGAATATATACAATGAACAGAGGTGATAAGTTACATATGGTGGAATCGGGGAGTGGGTCACTTGATTGACAAAAGCTTTCAATACAGAAACATAAGAAACATAGAGTCAACATAAAGATTAACTATAGATCTGGTACTGTGGGAGCTGGTCTTGTAAATATTCTTGTGATCCTCACTGGATGGCCGTTGCGTTATACCTGGCCGCTAATCCGCTACCTCACTACAGCTGCACCACTTGGTCCGGGAAGGTTCTTCAGCTCACACAGGGTGTTGGAGATGGTTCTTGTTCCTCATATGATGTAGTTAGGAATATATAGTTCCTCACCTGGGTGGAGTAGGGAGTCCTCATTTTTCTCCTGATGTAGTTTGGAATCTTTCTTGGCTTCTCATCCAGTGTTGGTGGTGGTGAGTGTACCGGGGACTGGGTGTGTTAGCTCCGCGGCAGCTTCAACATTGGCCGCTAAGCACTTATTGTCACTCTAACAGTTGTTTCTTTCTTTCGAGTTGAATTTGTCACTTTTGTATATCATTTGTGGGTTAATCGTCAATCTTTGCACTGTACTGTTGGTGGGAGGATATTGATAAATTCAGGTGGGGAGGAAGAGATGGGAAAAGGGAAGGGCCTGACAAACCAGGCTGGCAGCTGTCCCCATGGATTTCTTTTATAATTTGATGGCAATTAATAAAGCAATTTAGTTTCATAAATTGTTTCAATAATTACCACTGTAAAAGTACAATGGTGAAAATATTACTAAATGACAGTTCAAAATGGGGGAGGAATTGAGGAAATCTGGGATCTCAAGGGGAGGAATGTGACCTGGGACTCTGAGAACCACTGGTCTAATGTCAAACACACCAATATGTACAATACATGAATAAACCGACCCCGATCTTGTCTGTTAAGTCCTGGCCACTCTGTTAAGTCAGCTGGTGCAGTTGAGGAGTGAGATAGACGCTCTAAAGGGGGAGAACGAAGCCCTCAGGACTGAACTCCTTCAGGTAGGTGTCCTGAATAGCAGGACACCTGCGAAGGAGGAGCAGGCGTGGAGAGTGGTTGTTTCCAAGGGGACTACGGTCAGACTCAGGAAACCTGACCAGGGTGTGGAGTGCTATCCCTCCTCCTAGTCACAGGCCTGGCATTTGACATTATTAGGGACCTGCCACTCTTTGCCATAAACAGATAAAATGTACCGGGAACTTTCCCCCCACACACTCATCATTCTCTCATTTTATGTAACTTGACAGAACCTATGACCCTTCAGGCTTTTACGCCCTTAATGTACGAGTCATAAAGGCAAGTATGAACTTTTCATACTTTCCTGTTGGGCGCTGTAAACGCTTCTGCGCTTCACCTTGCACAGGATGTAAGGGGGTGCCCAATAAACTAGCCCCCTCGGGGGCAAATCTGAATCTGAATCTGGTGTGGAGTGCAGTAACCCCTACCAGGTGTTGGAGGAAGCTGGCGGGGTAGAGAAGGGGCAGGACGAGGAAGAGAAGAGGCAGGACGGTGTGGAGAGAAAAGGAGAGAAATGGGCAGTTGTTCAAACCCTGCCTAGTGGCAAGGTTGTGGTAGTTGGGGACAGCCAGGTGAGGTTTGTAGATAGGACATTTTGTGCAAGAGATAGGAAACGTACGACTAGGGTGTGTTTTCCTGGGGTTGGGATAGGGTATGTAGCTGAGAGGATAGATAGGGTTTTGTCAGGGGAGGGTACCAATCCAGTAGTGTGTCTTAGTGTGGGAGGTAACGACATAGGAAAGGTTTGGAGTGAGGAACTTTTCAAGAGGTATAGGGAGGCGCTGGGGAAGGTTAGAGATAGGGGAGGTTTCCCGATAGCATGTGGTGTCTTGCCTAGAAGAGGAGTTGGTCGTGAATGGCTGTCCAGGGTAATTGCTATAAATTGCTGACTGGAAAAACATTGTACAAACAATGGTTGGGCATTCATTGATAACTGGCAACCCTTCTATGGCAACGACTACCTGTACAGTCGCGACGGAGTACACTTGTCTCGTGAGGGGGTAAAGACGTTGTCTGCATCCGTGGAGCGTGAAATTGTCACTCCAAAGGGGGGAGGGGGTTATTCCAGTAGAGAGAGGTCGGGGTAAGTGGGAGTCAAAAAACAAGCAGGTCCTGGGAAGTAAAATTGGTTACTCAAGACAAGGGGCAAAACAGGACCAGGGAAGAGTAGGTTTAAATGTATACTATACAAACAGTAGTAGCGTTAGAAATAAAATAGACTTGCTGAGAGCTGTTGTATGTACCGAGAATGTAGACGTCATAGCAATCACCGAAACTTGGATGAATCTGAAGAGCTATTTTTTTTTCAGAGTACCACATAGAAGGGTACAACCTTTTTCACAAGGACAGGGAAGGTAGGAAGGAGGGAGGGGTCGCACTCTTCGTCAGGGATACATTAAAACGTTGTATTAATAATTCAATAAAGGGTGAAATAGGAACCGAGTCTGTATGGGTAGAAATTATGGTAGGAAGAGAAAAACTAATTATGGGAGTAATTTACAGGCCCCCAAGTCTTGGGAAAGAAGCAGCTCAACCCATATGGCAGGAAATGAGTAGGACAACAAAATATAACAACCTATGCATTATGGGGGATTTCAACTTCAGAAATATTGACTGGGACAAAATTGTAAGTGACTATGAATCTGAAGACTTCCTAGACTCATTACAGCACAATTTTTTGAAACAACTAATTACAGAACCTACTAGAGGTGACAATATATTGGACCTAGTATTAACAAATAAAGAAAATATTATCAGAGATATCACAGTAGGGGAAGAACTAGGTAACAGTAAACACAGATAAATCAGGTTCACCCAAAATTGGGAAACGAAAAACAATGACAATATGGTCAGAGTCCCAAACTTTCGATTGGCGGATTATCGGGTTAAGAAGGTACCTAGGTGAGGTCAACCTGGGAACAGTCAAGTCAGTCCCCATTAGGAACGGGTGAGGTCACAGGTGACACAACAATTGATGATGACTATAATATATTCACTCGTATACTACGTAAAGCACAAGAACAAAATATACCATACAGAAAAATTTGGTCAAATTAGAATGAGCCAAGGTGAATGACCAGAAAACTTAAACATGACATAGGAATAAAGAAAGGAATTCATAAGAAATTAAAGGGAGGGGAGGAGCAGCTCAGAAATAGGAATAATGAACTATCTAGAAATGTTAAGAAAAATGTAAAGAAGGCAAAGAGGGACTACGACATCAGAATAGCATGAGAATCCAAGGCGAATCCCAAGGGATTTTTCCAGGTATATAGGACAAAGGTCAAGGACAAAGTTGGGCCTTTAAAGTCAGGGAGGGGGGAAGTGATCGATGACAATGAGGAAATAAGCAAAGTAGTAAACAGCTACTTTTTATCAGTTTTCGCAGACGAAATTCGTGAGAAAATTCCGAAAGTGGAACTGATATTTAGGGGAAATGAAGAAGAGAAATTAAAGAATATCACTATCAGAAAAGAGGGTGTTCTTAAGAAGATAAACAAATTAAAGAAGACAAAATCCCCAGGGCCGGATGAAATTTTCCCTCGAGTCTTGAAAGAGTGTAGGGAAAAGATTAGCGGACCCCTCGTAAATTTATTTAAAAAATCATTAGACACGGGAGTTGTGCCAGACTTGTGGAAACAGGCAAATGTTCAAATATTCAAAAAGGGAGACAGAGCATCAGCGTCAATTTACCGGCCGATGAGTTTGACGTCAGTAGTGGGGAAATTTCTTGAATCAATTATAGCAGATAGCATCCGATCGCATTTAGAGAAAAGCAAATTAATCTACGACTCTCAACATGGGTTTACAAAGGGAAAATCTTGTCTAACAAATCTGCTGACATTTTTTAGGAAAGTCTACGAGGTAGTAGATAATGGCGAAAATTACGATGTTATTTACTTAGACTTTAGCAAAGCATTTGACAGAGTACCGCATCAGAGTCTTCTGAGAAAAGTTAGGGCTCATGGTATCGAGGGGAAAATTTTAAATTGGTTAAAATCATGGCTCACCGATAGAATGCAGAGGGTCAGCGTAGATGGTGTTAAATCTGAGTGGGGCTGTGTAACCAGTGGGGTTCCCCAGGGGTCAGTACTTGGCCCACTCTTGTTCATAATCTACATAAACGATCTAGATACTGGGATCAACAGTGACATGAGCAAGATTGCGGATGACACCAAAATAGGGCGGCAGATTAATTCAGGGCAGGATGCAAATGCACTACAGGAGGATTTAAACAAACTGCAGGAGAGGTCAGAAAATGGCAAATTATATTCTACACCAGCAAGTGCAGCGTACTTAATATTGGAAGAACAAATACAGTCAATGTACACAGCCTTAACAACATCAACCTAGAGAAGTCGACTTGTGAAAGAGACTTAGGAGTACTTGTAATCCCGGACCTATGGCCTAGAAAACAGTGCGTTAATGTTCGAAATAAGGCAAACAGAGTATTAGGTTTTATATCTAGAAGTGTAAGTAATAAGAGTGCAGAGGTCTTATTGCAACTATATCTTGCGCTAGTCAGGCCGCACCTCGATTATGCGATTCAGTTCTGGTGCCCTTATTATAGAATAGATATCAATTCACTGGAGTCGGTGCAACGAAGAATGACGAAAATGATTCCGGGACTTAGAAACCTTCCATATCAAGATAGGTTAAAGAAACTAAACTTACATTTACTAGAAAGACGAAGAGTGCGGGGAGATATGATAGAATTATTTAAGTGGGTGAAAGAAATCAATAAAGGGGATATAGATAAAGTCCTTATAATATCCGAGCAGGATAGGACTCGTAGCAACGGATTTAAGTTGGATATGTTTTGGTTTAGGAGGGAGATAGGAAGGAACTGGTTCAAAATAG